TATAACAGGGCATGCATGGGCCAGGAAAGGCTGTCGTCCCTCGCACTAATGCACATACATTATCAAGTTAAAATTGTTTTGGATGAGGTGGTAAATCTGTTTGCCACCAAACACCCACGGAGGCTGGAGCTCGGGACTATTCTCAGGGATTAGTTCCGCAGTATTTTGATGTATCATTTTACATCGTAAAATTACTCCTTTATAACATCTGCTCAACATGTCGGAACAGGTCGGATCAGTGACCCATAAGAAAATCCTCTGACTTTCATGGTGGAATTCGATTCCATTAAATCTCTCACTTTTGAAACGCGACTAAGTGCAAAACCTTTCTTGTAAAAATGAGTTTTATTGGCATGAAAAAAAAAATCTTTTTCATACTAACTTAGCCTCGCTTTGAAAGATAGGTTTGGGGCCAATCGGAAATGGCCTTTTTGCCAATATAAATTCACTAAGAATTCGCTTAAACATATCGCTGTGTAGATATCCCAGGATGAAACAAGCAGGTTTTAGTAATAATTCAGCTAATAAAAGCTTTTTTCTGAAGAAGAAAACGAAATATTCAGTTAGCAAAAAGAAACGTGGTTATATTTGATAATTATAGGATAAAGAATTTAACAGACCGAGGACATCCTCCTAGGTCTGAATTTCTTTCTTTTTTTGGTTCACATCATACTTAGCCTGTTCCAGGCTCTCAGATAGTGGGGGAAGACGCGAAAGAAAAAGGCACGCGAAAAGTTGGCGGGGCAGGAAAAAGGAAAAGGAAAGGAGAGGGAGCCTGTATAAATCATGTTCTTTTACAACCCTCTCCCGCCCACTTTTGGCACGTTTGAGATAATTAGATTTCGGCTGTCAAACAGTTGAAATGTCAATGAGTTGGAATCTTCTCAAATTTCTCGCGAGATTATTTCGCGCGGCGCTAATCCTTTATGCGAGTGTGAGCAATATGGAGTGTAAAAAGCGGGTCGGTAGGCAACACACGACTTTTATCTCGTGCCAAAATGCCGCTTGTTAGCCTGCGAAAGGCAGACGTTTCTCCTCGCTCATCGCCGCTGAGGGACGTTTCGCGAAACGTCCCTCAGGGGCGATGAGCGAGGAGAAACGCCTGCCGGCGTTCGCACTCTAGCTGCTTGTTCCAGTGAATACTTGTATTTTCTCTTACGGGTGGATTATGCTCTGGAGGGGTCTACGTTTTGACTGAGCAAACTATGTGATTTTTGCCGCCTGTTTCATGCTAGCCTGTTCACAGACCCTCTATTTTCTCTTCAAAGTCCGTCGAGCGCGGGTGATAAAATATAAACCGCAGGGGATTTATGATGTTTTTGAAAAGAACGAAAAGAAAGATAAAACAACGTCTGTTTACAGGCTAGTTTCATGCTGAGAGGTCGTTACAAGCATATTGATTTTCTGAGGTTATTGTTTCTGGTCGGCATGATTTATGATTTGCCCTTCATTGCGGCTAAATAAGGGTTTTCCCTCCTTGATCTGAGTGTGACGGTCTCCTACAATGAGTTTTGTCATTCTGGGCCCAGCTCGTTTAGTGTTTTCGCAAGATGTTCAATTCTCACGGATGGTGATTCACAAATCCAAATTTCGAAGAATTGCAGCTTAAACTGAAGCTACTTTAAACACGGAGAACTACGCTGTGAGTCAGTCAAGATTTTTAAACTCCAGCTTGTTCTTCTAAAGAGATCTAAAGATAATGTAAGTCTGGACTGGAGCGCGTAGATAACTCCTTTTTGCGACTGTTCTGTTATTGCCACTTTGTTATCAGGCAAGACAATTGTTTTCACCCTAAATGCGCTGGTTTTTCTTTCATCCCGATATTAAATAGATAATGAGTCCAAGAATGTTACCAACGTATCAATACTTAGAAGGAGCTCTTACAGAGTTTCAAAACTGGTAGAGTTCATCACGTTAAAGTTCCAATGTTTTATATTAGGAAATTTAAAAGAAATTTCAGGATTTAAATCATATAAAGAGTCCAAACGCGGTGAAGGCAAGGGGATTGAAATATTTGTACAAGGGAATACGGACGCTTTCAAAACTCTTTCTTGTGTTATACACGTAATTAATTTTCACTGCGCACTTTTAATTCACAAAATGCCCGTGGCGAGACAAATGAAACTGCTATTTTGCCAAGTTTATGTCATACCCTGAAATTAAAATCCATCTAATTGTGCAAATTGCTGTCGAGCCTTTTCTTGTTTGTTTACTATCGCTGCTTAGTGTTTGTGATTCCCCCAGGGAAAGTTATGATGGTACGCCTGGTAGTAAGATCCGACAAATTGGCTTCCTTTTTCAAAGAATAACTCCTTTCATTGAGGGGGCAGCGTGACCGAGTGGTAAGCTTGCCTCAACCCGGCATCGCAGTCCAGTCCTGCCCTTACCACTCGCCGAAGCTGTTCATTGCCGTCCTAAGTTCCCCCTAGGTTAGACTAAAGAAATTGTGGTGCTAAAGGCATCTGTAGGTGAGTAAAACAGAAAAATGTAGTTTTATGAACTGAGTAAACATTTTACTGTACAGGTATAACTTTATGAATATCAAACCAATTTTTATGCTTGTCAATAGCTAACTACTTGCGCTGTGCCCTCTTCCAGGCGGGATTTCTTCTTAAAAACGAGTTTGAATTTTGAGTGAACTCGCCGAAAACTACTGAAACAAAAAACTGCACTAGTTTTACATGTTTTGCATTCTCCATTTCCCGTAATATATCCGCGTGCAAGTCTTGCTTGAAGGATACAGGGGTACCCAACGAGAATATAGTTCAATACCACTTAAACATAGTATTGTTGAACGTATTTTAGTATTTAAACGGTAGATATGGGCATATTTTTCATCTGTTCGTCTAGTGATCCGAAAATTAACGGATCAAAACTTACCTTTTTGAAAATTTCAGCCAGAAAAAAAGGCTCCCGAAAAATTCTAGGTGACCTTTTCACGGTAAATATCCGTTAAAAATGGGCAATCATACCATTTTTTGGGGGTTCGAAAATCCTAGGAGAGGCAGGCAAGCAAGAAATTTAATGACAACTGTTCCGAAAATTCTAGATCTCAAATCGTCTTCCGAACAGATATTTTCCAAAAATTGTCGTTGGGTGCCCCTGATGATGGAAACAACGATAAAATTGTGTTATGTCCAAACGCCATTGCTTTCGGACAGATATTTTAGAAACTTTTATTAATGACCTAGTATTCCCAAATTGCCCAAGCCTCTGTCTTAAGTCGAGGCTAAGTGCGAGGTTATTTATATAATTATTCATAAAAAAATGATTTTTATTCTCATGCAAATAAAACACATTTCCACAAGAAAGGTTTTGCACTTAGCCGCGTTTTGATACTGATTTCGAGACCTAATAAATCTTATATTTGTTATGATGTGAAGTTATATTTTACCAGTAACTAATCTATGTATTCTTTAGCCTTAGAAAGATGACGAATACAAGCCAAGATGATTCCGAACATTTGTTGTTTAAAGATATTCCATGGATGCTTGTATACATCTGTGAGGCATTTCTAATTCTCGTTGGAAACCTCTTTACAATTTATATTTTCTGGAGCATTCGAAAACAACTGAAGCGAGCAAGCTATCTGCTCATCAATCTTGCAGTTGCTGATTTTTTTGTTGGAATGGGAGTTGTTCTTTATATTGGAGCAGATATTGCAGTTCTGTTAGGAAAACAAATTAGTTTGATGTTAGTTGACGCAATAATAACAGTTGACGTCACTGCAACAGTTGCCTCGCTGTCATCGTTGGTCTTAATTTCTTTGGAAAGAATGGTGGCGATATTGTGGCCATTGCGTCATAGGCTTTTGAAAACACGATACTTTTACTTCTCCATTGGTTTTGTTTGGCTTCTTTCGCTCACAAATGTTATTTCGCTAAACTTGCGTGTAGATTCTGTTTCCTTAAATGGCTATGCCGACAGCATTTATACATCCGTTACGTTCATTGTCTCGGTTTTGGTCATCACAGTTGCCTATCTTGCTATTTGGATTTCAATGCAACGCAGTAAAATACCAAGCAATGATTGTAAGTCCAAAGAGAAAAATAGAACGCTTGCAAAGACCCTTTTCATAGTAACCGCTTTGTCAATTATTACCTGCCTGCCATATGGTATCATCATTGTTTTTGCCAACTTTTCTGAGGATTGCAGGTTTTCTTTTTGGGTTC